AGGTCATTCAAAGCATAACCGCATTTCAGAATTGATAGTTCTCGCTCTGTGTGTGTATGTGTGTGTGTATGTGTGTGTGTGTGTGTGTGTGTATTTGTGTGTGTGTGTGTGTGTACTTCTTTATGTTTGCCATGGCGGTTGTTGTTCGTGTTGGGTTTTGGGGCTTTTGCAATTAGGGGCAGCTGGACCAGGGTCGGGCACAGCGGACCAAAGACAAAGGGTCAGACAAAGCGTTCGCCCGACTCCCGGCTACGTTTTAATTTAAATGCATGCTGCCATTTTGTATATCTAAAATATATATATAATATATATACTTTATGTGTGTATTTGTTGCTGCTGTTGTGCGTTGCCATTTGTCTGCGGTTTGTCTGAGCGTTTTTGGGTCTTTGGGCTTTATGTTTAATTGCAAGGGAATTTTTGCCATTTGGCGTCTTTTTGGCATCCGTTTTTTATTTAGATGATGTTAACGTTCGCTCGTTTTGTAATTTTTGTAATTTGCGCTAATAGCCCGTAGCGCAGATATAAAACCTATTAACACAAATGAAAGACACTTGAAGCTTTCATTATGCTTCAGCATCAGAGATATGAACTAAACAAAGCGACAGCTTTAACTAAATTTCATACGTTAATTGGCTTTAATTTAGGAATTCGTTCGTGTTTTTCAGCTTGTGTGTTTGAAACTCGTAAAAATTTAGGGGCAATTTTGGTTTTTTTTATTAATGGATGTTCCAAGCAGAGTGAAACTATTTGCGACTTTCATATTTCAGCAGCTATTGAAGTTAGTGAGTTGAGAGTTATGAGAGCAGGAAGCTGTACATCTGATAAATTTACGATTTGAGCTTTTTATATACTGTGCTGATCAACTGAATGTGTTTAATATTATTTTAAAGCTTGAAAAGTTGTAGCAGCTCAACAGAAAATCCGTTTTAAATTAAATACGTTTCTATGTATCTAAATAAGTTTGGCTACTTAGTGAGTTAAGTAAAATGTACAGACATTGGTTAGCTGAAACAAACATTTATTTAGTTTAGAGTACGCCCTTCCATTATGTTTTAATATATCAAGTATATGCCTTAGTACAGAATTCTATTATTTTTCAATTTAACTAAGCGAATTTGTTGAGCAGAATTTTTGAAGTGCTTCAATTGGCATCGGAGAGTCCTCAAATTGTCGCTCAACTTAGTCAACTCTTCTAAACGGAAGTCACAAACTGCTTTTAATAATACTTATGTAAGCTGAGCATATCAGACAAATGACTTTAACTATTTTAATTACTTCAGATCCTAGTCTTATCTACCTAATATAATAATTTTAGATCTATATTCAGGCTCAAACTTGTCACGTTTGCACTTGTCACTTGTTGAGGCTCATTTGACATTCTTACATGCATTGCTTGGATCTAGTTTTGTAAGATAACGTTAAAGGCAATGCATCTTGTATACCTGCAACTCTTATTTCAGTCAAGTATTCACGCTTGAACACGCAGTTTTTAAAATACTGAGCATCGAACGCTTTGGCTGTGGCATTCTTGTGGAGCTTGGGCCAACAACCAGACGCAGACTTGTAAAATGTAAAGCGAGTATTGTAGAAGACACAGAAAATCAAATTAGCAGCCGATTAACTTATTCGAGCATGGGCGAGTGAGTCAACAGTGGAATTTGGGCTCACATGCGTGTAATATTTGAATGATGCAGGAATTGTAGCTAACGACGTGGCTTCGCTGGAATTGTTGACTAAATTTGTTTTCATATTAAGCTGGAATAGGGATATGTTTTACATATATATTATTGATATATGCCATTGAATAAGAGTGGAATTTGTATATGAAAGCCTTGTATGATGTTCAGATGCCCTAGTCTAAGTAGAAGCTCACAAGAATTTCAACTTGTTGTGAAATCTCGCCTACAGTCGAGTGGAGTAAGCAAATCTGAATACCAAATAAACAATGCTCAGGGCTGTGCGTTGCTTAATGAAAAGCTGGCAGCTTATATTACTCCAGCTGTGTATGAGTGTATGTGTGTGTGTGTGTGTTAGTCAGGCGCATAAATTCAATTCAAAATTAATTAGTTACCGTTGCCTCTAAGGTCGGAGTGCAAAAACAATACTCAAAAGCCTAATTGCCTTTGATTATGTACGTTTATCGATGCCAGGACATTGCTACAGGCTTAGTTGGACACACACTCGGGCACACACACACATGCAGAGATGGCCACACAAAGGCACACACAGCATTAAATTGGCATTAGGTGTCGGCAAACAAGCCGCTCTGTGGGTTCTCTAGCCTTGGACACGAGTTATCTGTAGGGTTCGGCCTTTCGCCTGTGGCTAGAGTTGGCGCTGGGGCTGGGCGGGCTAGCACGGAGGACGTGCGTTTGGGTGTACCTTTGCCTTTTTTCCTCTTTTGGCAACGGCTGTGGCAGCATAACATGCCACATTGTCGCTTTGACTTTTATTTATTTTGTTAGACGCATTTTGAAAAGCCAATAAGCAGCTCCTGATTGATTATCTGCTGCCGCCCGTATCAATGTTGTTGTTGTTGACTTTAATATGAAACTTTGCCGCTCACGCACTTCGTGTGTGCCTCAATCAATTTGGAGTGAAATAAATGAGGCATGTGCAGCATATTTGTTGCCTACTTTTTGGGGCCGGCTGCGTGCAAAGGCTTAAAACTTATCAGCTGGCGTTGTTCTGGCCGGGCCGCTGCTCCAGCTTCTTCTTACATAATATATATTTATTTATTTTTTATTTCACGGAAAGGCTTACGCGCACAAAACTGCAGCCATTATAAATAGCTCACGTCTAACGAAAGCCCGACTGCGGTTAGCCTTGCCACAGGGCCAGCTCAGGCCGCATGCCACTTGCACAGCTGCCAGCCTAAGTTGAGTGGCAGTTGAGTGTGTGCGTGCGTATGTGTGTGTGTGGGGCTGTGTGCGTGTGGGTGTGTGCGTATGTGTGTGTGCTTGCGTATGTGTGCGTGTCTTTGCGGGAGCGCAACTGCCGCCAAAGTGTGGCAACTGCATTTTGCTGCTTTTTCCAGCAGATGCTAAGGACATTTTCTGGCTACGCGCTGCCACTTGCACACACACACACATGCACACAGGCACGCCCACACAAATATGCCAAAGGCTAAAAGCCAACGAAATCTCATGACTTTGATGAGAACTTTCAAGTGCAGCCGGCAGCTGCCGCACCGCCCAACCGCCCAACCACTTAACCACATAGCCATCCAACTTAGCGAAAAGTGCATTAAATTTGAATGAAGAAACGACACAGTCTTTTCCTCATTTTCATAGCATTTTCCTCACATCCTCCTCAGTCTCCCTCTCCCTTTCCCTTTCCCTCCCGCTCTCTCTCTCTCTCTTGCCATGTGTGCTTGCAATTTTGTTTTATCGCTCCCCATTTTCTTAACGCATGCTCCGCCCTGCTCGTTGCATATTTCACAGCTGCACTGTGTGTCCCATGCATTTTGTATAACCGCTGGCAACAGGGCCTAGCCACCGCATGGGCGTGGCAGCCATAAAATAGTTAAGCCAGCATCGTATGCAAATGAGGTGAAGTCGCCATCAATTTGATAAAGCAAGAAGCTATTGTGCTTTAGAACTTTCACTCTATCATGCAAATTGAAGATAATGCTGAATGAATGCGAAAGAATTCGGCTCTATTATCCCTCATCAAATGAAGGGCTTAATGTTGTCTCGGCTATTGTTATTGGGCAGAAAACAAAAGTTTCTCTAATAGTTTCAACTGGCTTATCCTCAAAACATATATATATATATATAAATGTATATATAAATATATATATATGCACAGTTTGTTTATAATATTCTTCATCAGGTGCTTAGACTAGCTTTAACAAATTTCTAGTTTCCTTTTGGCCATTTACTGTCTGCAACAAACAAAACAAACAAACTTTGGCTATTTGGGCAAAGGGTCTGCAAACAGCTTAAAATTGATTCAAATCGAAACTTTCATTTATACAAGCCAACAGGATTTAGTAAAGAAGAGTACCATTATATGCTTAGGAAGGTTTTTTTGAGAGCTGTCAAGACCTTAGCCGAAACTGAAACAGAATTCACATATTTTGGACTCAAATTGCAGTAATTCATGTTTTTTGATTACATTTTAGTTACTGCTGTGAGAAAAACTCTCTTTCAAGAATATTTATTACAGCTGAGGCGCTTTTCAATTAAACGTAAATTGCATTTACTGCAAAGATATGGTTAGCAGCCTTAAGCTCCATCCTGCACATCTCTTTGGCCATGTTTTCATCTACAATTATTATGTTGGCAAATAAAAATTTCGAGCTCGAATTTTAAATAGACTTTTCATCAACTAAAAGACACTTTTGGTAAACGGCATTTTGCACTTTGAGCTCAGCAATTTACTTGAAGCATTTGATGAGCCAGGTGATTAACTGCTACAAACAAATAAGCCTTTAGATGGGGCAATAACGTTCAGCTGAGAACTAAGCCTGAGTTCTTTTAAGCACTAAACTTGAGCATAGCTGGCTAAAAATTGTTTTCATTTGCTTTTCCTAAACTATTTTCAGACTTGAAGCTTCATAAAGCTTTACAGCTGTGTATATGGAAATATCTGCTTCCCAACAGGCACAAGTCTGCACACTTTACAGCTAAATAATATAACAATAATAAAATCAAGCTAGTCATCTCTTATAGGCAGCATAGTCACCATATTATAGGCAGTATAGTTCCCATATAGAGTCGATTTTGAAAGGTTTCTTTTAGTACTTGCATCCCAAGTCGATCTTCTCGCTCATGCTTAACACAAGGCAAGTGCAGACTATCTCTTCTCTATAGCGTAAGTTAAGTAACGTAATGTAACACCTCAACAAACGACGCTCGCTGAATTGGGTCGATGACGTCATCGGGGCAAACGTCTGGGCGAGTTATCTGGCGGGCCATCTGTGTCAGCGAGCTGAGCTGCGAAGCGCTTGGCTCGCTATCAGCGCTCTGATCGCCAAACGATTTTGCGCAGTTCTCACGCGAATTCCATGTTCGACGTACGTGAAATGTGCAAGCTGCAGCTGTGGCTACAGCTGTGCCAGTGCCTCTGCCTCTGCCTGTGGCCGCCAATCCTCGCTAGCAATCCCAGCCCAGCAATCCCGCTGCCCAGCTACTTCCAGCTGCACATGAACGCGAGCGCCGATGCTTGCGTGGATTTCTATGAGCACGCCTGTGGCGGCTGGACGCAGGCGCATGCCAATGACGTTTACTCCAGCCAGCTGGAGCAGCTCGACTATGAGTATCATGAGAGCTTGGCTGCGCTGCTAGAGCAGCAGCCTAAGGTGGACGAGCCGCGCTTTGTGCAGCTGCTGCGCGATAATTATCTTGCCTGCCGCAGCCTCGACAAGCGCTACGACGCGGCACAGTTCGTGCGCTGGCTGCGCGAGTGGAGCAAGAGTAATTCGCAGCCGAACGACAACAATTGGAGTGCGCTGATACGACTGTTGAAAGCCTACGGTCTTGCCGAGCTGCTGCAGTACGAGAGCGAAGAGGACGAGGCGTCGTCGACGGAGACGCTCAGCGATGTGGAGCAGCGGCTGCTGCAGCTGATGTTGCCTTGGCCCAATCCAAACGATTATCTGACCGATGCAGCCGATGATGTGCTAGAAGACATGCTGACGCACGCGAGCTTCAGGCAGCTCAACCGCGATCTTCGGCCGCTGGGCGTGGCCGAACGCGAGCTGTGGAAGCACATGCATAGACTCGAACAGCAGCTGTGCCGCTGTGCGCAGCAGAATGAAGAGGAGACCGAGGAGGAACTGTCGACTGTGACGCTTTGGCTGCTGCCGCTGCCCAATTCAAGCGCATTCGGTGCAACTCGTCGGCTGGGCTATCTGAGCTGCGTGTCCGCATTGCTGGCTAAGCAGCCGGCGTCGCTGCTTGCCCACTATCTGCAACTGCGGCTGCTGCGTCTGCTGAAGCTGCTGCCAACGCCGCAGTTCGGGCGGCAGGCGTGCGCGGCACAGTCGCGTCAGCTGCTGACGCATGCGGCCGTGTGGCTGCTGCAGCAGCAGTTGCCACAGGCACAGCGACAGCTAACGAATCACACAATGCACCAACTGTTCGAGCAGCTGCGTCAGCAGTTCAAGCTGCAGCTGCAAGCCAATCGCAATCGATTCGGCAACGCCACACAGAACTTTCTGCTGCAGAAGCTGGAGCGCATGAGACTGCGCGTGGGCGTGCTGCCCAGCGGTAGCTTGGAGCAGCAGCAGCAGCAGCTGGCGACACATTACGCTCTGCTTCAACTGAAGGCCGACGATTACTACGGCAATCTGCTGGCCATATTGCAGCAGACGCAGCGCTGGGCCGAGGGAGAAGCGTCAACGGACAACGATCTGTTCTTGGTGCAGTCGGATGGCTTTGGCAGCTATGCGTCATGCTTTTTTCTCTTTTCACGCAACTTGGTGGTGTTGCCGCATTCGCTGCTGACGGCCAACCTGTACAGTCCCCATCAGCCGAAACTCTTTACGCATAGCGCCCTGGGCTTTCTGCTTGCGCACGAGCTCTCTCACGGCTTTGATCTTAGCGGTGTGATCTACGATGGGCGTGGCAAGCCGGCCACTAAGCAGCAAAAGCAGCGCTTGTCAGCCAGTGCGCGCTTTGCCTATCAGAAGAGCTGCCTGAGGAGACGCCACGCCGAAATTGCCGATGAAAAGTTTGCCGATGTGAACGGACTCGCCCTGGCCTACGATAGCTATTTTACGGCTCATTGCCAGCTCAAGCATGTGACGCCCACGGCTGCAACAGAGGCGAGGTGTGGCCCAGCTGTGCAACAGCATTTCTTTATCAACTTTGCGCAGTTCTTCTGCCATGACGATCAGCAGCTCGAGAATACCAGCGTGCATGGCAGCAGTCGACAGCGGGTCAATGATGCTGTTGCCAGTTCGCAGCACTTTGCACGCGCCTTCGGCTGTGAGCGCAGCCACAAGCAGTCGGCCTGTCAGCTGTACTAGCAAGATTTTAGAGAACTCTACTTAAGCGTATATATATTATAGAAATATCTAAGCAAAATAACGAGCGGAACGATTGGCAGCTAGAAGCGCTCGACTGAGTGAGAGAGCGCAGCTCTTCAAGCAGACACTTATACAGACAATGAATTCACATTCTATATTTGATGTTTCTAGCTTTTATACTCTTGAATTTGTGCTAAAAGAAAGCCCAGTTAACATATTGTTAGGTGAACGATAGATGAGATAAGCTTTTGCTTCGCAATGTATTTGAAAATATACAAAAGAATATTTTTTTTCGAGTTGCATAACTTTAAATTAGTAAAACTGTATTTTATGATAACCAATTTGTAAAGTAAATTATAACTTTTTACTGGATTTAGCTTGACATTTTGTAATAGATACAGCAACATTTAAAAACTTGAAATTACGTTTTACGTTTACTTGTAACGATAATGTGCATCCCGCACTGTAAAAGTGCACACTGAACTAATTTGTGAAAATTGATTTCCGTTGATTGACATCCTGTACGCAGCAGGCAAGGCAAATGGCAAAAGTTATAATTAAACATTAATGTCAAAGAATTTTTTTTAACCTCGTCTTGTTGATACTAAAAATATATTTTTATGTTTTATTATAATTGAAGCTTGTGTAACTTTAAAAAAATGCAAGTTTCTAGACAGGCAGCTCATCGTCGTTGTAATCAAGTTTACCTGTACTTCAAGATGACGAGCACGCCCTCAGCTGCCTGTCTCATCACCTGAATACCCAATTACCAATCCTAATGAGCTTTAGCTATAAAACCGCTAAAACACCCAGCTGCCTCTGGCATAAAAGCTGCATAGAGTCAGTTCGTGGCGCAGGCTATAAACCTAAGTTTGAGTAGGCATAATATCAGTATCAGGCTATGTTTACTGAAGAATTGCGACACAGCGGAAAGATAGCTGGAATAATAATTCAATAATTCACAAAACATTTTAAAGTTACACAGATTTTTATTTATTTCCACTCAGACAGAAAACTTGAAGTTTTGTTTTTTTTTGTATTTTTTTTGTTTGTGTTGGATTTATTCATATTTTCTCTTACGGCGCTAATTTACATACATTTAAAACATTTAAACTTGAAATTTGTTGTGGTTGTTGTTGTTTAAAATAAGTACTTGTACACAGACATATCAACATTGAATCGCTTTATTACTTATATAAATATGTATGTATATATGTATTTGTATATATATATATATATATATATATATGTATGTACCTAGACAAAAAAAAATACTATGACTATTAAATATCAATGAATATATATATATATATCTATATGAATACACATATATATATTTATATTTATATATTTATTTTATAATATTTTTCAATTCTTCTTTCTTGTCCTGCAAAGAGCAGAGACTGAAACTTATTGTTGTCAACTTTTGAAATTCGTTTTACTGATTTTGTTTATTGAAAATATTTGACTGTCATTTAAATTCGATAAACTTTGGGGCTCAAAAGGTTTACGAATTTAAATGAGTTTCTTCTAAATATTTTCGTTCGTTGGTTTTTAGCTTAGTTCAGATTAGTCGCTTAAAGTTTAATTAGATTTTCGATTCGTTCGGACAACTTTCACAAATGCCGCACAAAAATAAACTTTATCTGATGTACATACATTAGAACTATGTAAACATAGATTAGTTTGTTTTTCTTCTTCTTGTTCTTCTTATTCTTTTGTGTCGATTAATTCCTGTATTTAATGTTTGTATTTATTTCAACTTTACTTATCTAAATATTTGTGTTTTTGTTTTTCAAGAATTTCAAAATTTTCTGATAATCTATTTATATATATATATATATATATATATATATATCTATGTAATATATATATATATATATGTATGTAAGTACATAGCTACTTTGTATATATATATGTATGCTTATCAGTTTTTTTATATTTATTTCGTAGACATTTTAATTTCATTTGTGAGATTTATGTTTTATTTTCAGTAGAGTGAAATGTAAACTTTTCTAGTTTTCTTTACTTTTTTTTCCTCTTATTTTGTTTTTATATTATCGTTTTTTTTTTAAATATATATATATGTAATACACATTTATAAATACACACGGCAATAATTATTTAACTTTGTTTTTGTTTTTTTTTTTCATGTGAACGAGAACAAACATTGAACGTCTATAAGATCTGTACGTGTTTCGCTTGAATAGTAAACTTTTTATTAAACTGTGATCAAAGTTGCTTGTGGTATTAGTATTGGTATTTAGTTTAGTATAGTTGGTTATCCAATAGTATATTCGATTACACATAGACAGATTTGTTGCTGGCATCCACGTTTGGTTGGCTAAGTTTTGTCGTAACCAATGGAACTTTTTCCTCTTTTACTTGTAATTAGTTGGTTTGAAACCAGAGTATTCGCACTTTTGTTCTCTCTCTCTCTCTCTCTCTCCCTCTCTTTGTCTCTTACCTCTTATCATAAATCCTTTTCGGTAGCTCGTTTCAGCCTAGACATTGCGCTCCTCGGCTATGATTTCCATGTTGCTCGTGCGACGCTGCTGAAAATGATGATGATGATGCTGATGTAGATGTTGATGCTGATGCTGATGCTGCGGCGCCTTGCTAATTGCCTCCGACGCGCTCAAGCCGGAGCTATCGGCAGCGGCGGTGCACGTGCAGACGGCGGTGCTGCGATGCTGGTCGCTGCTGCCACGCCGCGGCACCAACATCACCAATTACTAGAGGACAGTCTCGTTGGTGTTGGTGCAGGTGCGTGGTCCATTCACGATCGAGTACTTGGACGAGCTGTCCTTCTTGCCAGCCATGCGGCCCATAAAGATCTCCTTGAAGGTCTCGCGAAACTGGCGCGACATGCCGCAGTAGATGCCAAAGTTGATCGGATAGCTGAGCACCAGAAAGAAGTTGGTCAGCATGATGAAAATGTTGGCAATGCCATAGTCCAAGAACTCGATGATCAGCGAGCTGACGATGTGCATGGAGGTGACCACGGCAATGGGTATTTCGGCAATGAGAAACACCGATACAACCACAATCAGCATCAGGGTGGTGCAGTTGGAGTCTCTCAGCTTCTTGCACTCCTTCTTGCGGTTCTCGCGGAAGAGCAGCTTGCGCCGCTCCTGCGCCTGCCTCAGTGCCGCAAACAACAGAATGTTGAGTGTCACCAAAATGATGCAGGGCAGCAGATTGACGAATATCACCCGGAACAGATAGTAGCTCGTATAGTAGAGATCGACGCCAATGTACTCGTGCACCCACAGCGATGTCTCCAGGTGACACACCTCGGTCTCGTTGCCGTTCCACTCGATCTGAACGGGCATATAGGTGCGGTCGAAGAAGCGCGGCAGCTGGTGCAAAAATGCCAGCAGCGCTATGTAGAAGGTGCAGCGCTTCACGCGGGGCATCGTGCACCAGGTGCGTGCCATGGGTGCATGGCACACGTAGATGTACCTGTAATTAGATGATTTGTGTTGAACGTAAATGAGGTTTTTGTACTTCAGTTGGTATGTGATGTGGCAGGACTAAGCTTTAGCATGCCGAAGATGGAATACTCTGACCAGGAGTGGGTTCTCAATGGGATTTTTTAAGAATGGATTATGGAACAATATATTCTAATAGCCATGTAGATGAAAGGCGGGCTTTAGGTAGGTAGAAATAAAGAAAGGCTGCAAAAGAACATAAAACTCTTCTTATCAACTAAGCCTGCAGATATCTTAAATAAACTGTTCGCTCTGAACTGAACTTTCTGGCTTGTTTCAGCAGGGCTTAATTATATGAGAAATCAAATTAATATTTGCGCATAATATCATAGCTCTATCGAGCTATATAATATAGTAGCCTTTTATAAATTAAGCCCTTCCTACTTACTAAGCCTTACTCTAATTAAATTGAAAAGCGTCTTTAATGTCGTGAATTGTTTCAGCTGATTATTAATAAGTGAGTTCAATCAAAACTAAAGAGCTTCAATATCACAAGAGAGCACATATCTTGTGGAAGCCAGAGAATGGAATTTACGACAATTCTCAAAGCAAGAAACGTTCGAGCTTAGGTCTGCGCAGCAAGATTTGCTAACGCTTAAACAATTTACTTATCAGTTAATAAATTAACTTAACTATGTTTGATGAATTCATAAATGCATAATTCATCCCAATGATCCACTCCACTCGATATGCCCATAAAGCTGCATTGAATTAGCTGCGTTAACAGACACTAAAATCACGTTTGCTTATGAAGTGCTTCGATAGCTGTTGTTCAGCACGAAAGACATTTTCAGTTATGAGATTTGCGTATGAAAATTTGATATATTACGCTCGACATATATATACATATATCTTGAAAGTGAAATGGTGTGTGGCGCATGCATCAAGTTGGACTTTATCTGACGGCCATTAGAGTGTCTGGCAATGGATTTTATTCATGAAATGTTATCCGAGTTGAGGCATAAAAGCGCCAGCGCTGGCTTGGCGCATTTGCCTAATATAATTTTATGGCCCAGCCAGGCCAAGGACTAACCCAATTTGGTTCGCCTCGGATTTATGATGGCAACGTGTTGACAATGTTGTCACCTGCCACCAGCCACCAGCCACGCCCATCAATTGACAGCCAATTGGCTTTGGCAGGTGCGACCGCACGCGCAATCAAAGCCGATCTAAAGCAAACCTAATCAACTTGGCGCTTTATAATTTCATAATTTTAATCATTTTAATAATTCGAGTAATTTGCGCAAAGTGCTCGCTCGCAACTAGCGACAGCTTGGGGCAGCGCCCTCCTTCTGGCCGTGGCAAAACTGGGCGCGCATGTTGCTGAGATTAAGAAAACTTTCGGTCGCGACTTTGGGGCAGCTTTTTAGTTTTGGTACTTGAAGGTCGTTCTAGCGGGCCACCTCTACTCGCTCTTTATACCCTAGCTTAAGTTATTGTTGAGTATGTCTGCGCTAAGCTGCCGCAGCTTTTGCTAGACTCTGTCTAAATGCTCTGCCTTTCGACTAATTTATGCGCATAATTATGGGCACGCCCACGCTGACGCCCAAGCAGTGTCCTTCGCCTTCGCCTTCGCCTTGGCCGGTGCTTGTCTCGTTCTGGCTGCCACTTCAAAATGGTTTTCAATCAATCTTACATTGAACCTTTGTCAAGCGGGGATTTCATTAAAGTTGAAAGCAATCGTAAACAAAGGACGCAACGATTGCGAGGCGTTTAGCCCTAAATGGAATTGATATTAATAATTGAATGAACAGCATTTAGCCACGCCCACCGCCGCTCGGACACCAAGCGCTTGTTTTTGATCCACTGGCACTTCGCTTGGCTTCCCGCACAAAAGGCAGGGCATGCCGTGGCCCAGGCATTCATCAGCGATGCGCAATAATAAATCAACAGAATAAACGCAATTCATCCAGCCAAATAATTAGTATGAGTAATTAGCATATTCCATTGAAGATGGATGAGCACAAATGTATTTAAAATGCGCCACGCACAACTTATATAAACTGTCCTTTCGCATCAGTCGAAGTAATTACTCAACTGATTTCCTGTCCACATTTAATTCGGCTTGATTACGAATGCTCAAAGAGTACTTCCAGGCACTCAAAGCTGTGCGCGTTCTATACAAATTCGATTGAATTCCTCGATTCTCATACGGTCATGAATGATGCTCAACAGTTCATACATTTTTTACTCTATTGAGATATTTAGCTTTTTATGTAGCAACATCTATGAGTGTAGCCAGTTGGCATTGCCTGACTATGAAATACCCTATATGCTGCTGAAAACCATTTAAGAAAATATTCATTAAGAAGTATTCATAATCTGTGTAATCATCATAGGAATCTGCATATCATATGAGCTCTTCTATCTCTTGGATCTTAGGTCTTTGTATATGCTCTGGCATCGGCAGAGCCGTTGAGGTAAATGGAACGAATGACCGCAATCTCTTGACAAATCTACATCAATTTGGCCAATTGCAGTACGGAGATTTCCAGGTTAAGCCAAGCGCCGGTTCCTGGAGCCAACACAGGCTACAAGAATATTTGATTAAGCGGATTGCACTGATGTCTGAGCTGAAGCTGAGCTAATAGAGTAATCACATAAATTTGACCTATGATTCATGCTATATATTGCTGCAACTCTAGCATTAAATTTGCTATTATTCAATACACACATTTCTGTCATTTCGTGTCAGAGTGTTCTATTTTGTTCTACGATTCTGAGTTGCACACGAAAATCAAGTGAAATACCAAAAGCTGACATGGCGACAACAACAACAAGAACAACAATAATAACAGCAATAATAACAATAAACGTTGACTGTTTTATCGCGCTATTTGTCCTCGGGCAATTTTCAACGCATTTTACAAAATGTGAGCTGAGGGATGTCAGCTGAATCTGTCCCCAGCTAACATAGCAAATTATTTAGCTATTTGCTGCACACACATACACACGTACACCCTCTCACACTGGCACAGGCGCACTCACACCACCAGGCAGCGACCACTTGAAGCGGTCCACATCGCATAATGGCACAAATATTTATGACTATTTTTATAGAACATTTTCTTTTCTCTGTTTTTTTTTTGTGCTGCCCGTTTTTTAGGCCTCCAAAATTTTGTGTTTTTTTTGTTATTTATTTACAGGCTGTAAAATTTATGATCCCACACATGAGTTAATAGAACAATGCGCCAGCTCTCAAGTGGCCCTTGCGCCGCACTCGAGAGTTTTTAGAGGCGAATGCGAGTTTTATATACATTTCAGAGCAGCGAAGGGCGTTGAGGCGGGGCACACACTCACGACACACTCACGATTTATGTTGCCAATTTAATACATATTAGTTTATTGTTTTTCATTTTGTTTTTTCTTTTTAATATACATAGAGACAATGTGCATATAAAACATTTACAGCATTGACTGACCCGCTCTCACAGGCGGAGCTTATTTATGGCTTTGCAGCCAAACAATTTGAGCTTAAAAAAATTGAAAACTGAAAGCTGAAAACTGATTCTTGATTTCATTATGAGAAAGTCAGATGTGATATATGTGCATAGCGAAACTAAAGCCTTAAAGCCTTAAAGCCCAAAGTTTTTTTTTTTTTGCCATAAACGCATTTTGCTGTTGCTAGCCTGAAGCTGGAAAAACGTTTATCAATGTGACAGCTTATAGAACTATAAGTAAAGCCAATTAGCCGTTGTCACAAACATATTCCACAATTTTCATTTAGTTTTGCGTTGGTTGAAAATTGATTTGAAACTAAGTTTAAAAAAATCTTGCAAAAAAAGTTGAATTGATAATTGAAATTTTCTATAAAATTCGAATTAAATTGAAGAGCAGAGAGTTAACAAATATCAGTTTATTATTATAAATTCCAGATGAGTATTATGGGAAAAAAATTTCAATGAATAAAATACAAAAAAAAAAAACTCTTATGTTTTCAATTAGTTATCAAAAAATATTTTCTTTATATATATATATATATATATTTATAAAAAAATATTTTTTTATAAATATATATAATATATACATGTTACAAAAAATACATAATGCAGATATATTTAAAAAAAAATATTTTTTTATGCTTTTAATACAATATTTTTTTGTTTTGCATTTTAATCATTTAAGCGGACAATAAAACAGGCAACAAAAACAGGCGACAAGATTGATTGACAGACATACACACAGACACACATACACAGATTTGCAGAAGTATATGCCATGTTTATAGCTGTGGGCAGAGACAACACGCACATTACTCATACGACGCGTTAACTGGACGAAAGACAGCTCTAGCGTCTGAGGCTGGATTCTCTTATTTTTTGGTTGCTTTTTTCTGTTTCGCGCATAATTTGTATGGCAAAGACAGCGCTGAGTGTATTGGCAACACGACTGACAACGTGACCCACTGAGCACAGCTGATTTATTATCCCATTGACAAGTCAAGAGCTCTCACAGTCAGTCAGCCAGAGTAAGTCAGTTGGCCCGTACGAGTAAGAGTACGCATACGCCTGGCCGTAGACAGTTGATGAGTGATATTTAAACATGAGAGTCAAAGAAAAAGTATTTATTACATATTTACCTTTGCACGGCCAGGGCCAGAGTCAGCCAGACGGAGATGGTGTGACACATGGCGGGCATGATCTGTAAACAAAGAGCAGAACCAGAGCTTAAGAAGTGCCTGCAATTAAGCTAAATACATAAATGGGCTGACCAAACAGGTAGCAGCTGGAAAAAGAAACTGTAATAAAGCAAAAATGGTTTAAGTTCATGTATTGCTTCTGGGTTTTAATGGTTCAATGGATAAGTTGGCTCAATATGTGCCAAATGTTGAACGCGAATTGATTTATCTGAGACTGCTTCATATGGCAGCCCTATCATCCTGGCAACAAACATAAAATGATTACTGATTAAATGACCAATCTTATTAATCATTTCAGGTACTGCTTGCTATCAATGACTCGAAACGCTGCTAAAATAAAGCTATGGGAACTAGTATCACTGTTGCCTGGTCAGCTCATTTCTGTTCATCAGCATTACACGAATTTTCACTACGTTCTGTTTGCCAGCATTTGAAAATGATCTTAAAGCATGACAGCATTATCCTAACACAGTTTCTCGTCAAAAAATGCTGGCAGCGAAAAGCTGCCAGCTTACATGTTGTACAACACGTTGTGCTCTCTACCAACGCATAACCGAGTGCATTTTGTGCAGCAAACTGTAGCCTAATCCGATTTATGTGAGTTTATCCAACAACTCTGCGAGAGATAAACACAAGCGCAGCTGCAATTACAGCTGCCAACCAGTACAATGTCAGATGTTGTTGTTGTTTTTGAGAGGAAGAGCAAGCTGCTTGTTAAAGAGATGGAGCAGCACTCGGCTGACACATTAACATGGCCATTAAAACGCGCCGACCGTGCCTTTTCGAGAGTCACATAAATTGCGAGGGAAATGTAACGAAGTCTTCAACTTTAGTTGCAATGGTCGCCTGGCGGTTATTACAGCCTCTGTGTATGTGAGCTGAATTTTATGGCCGTCATACGCAGATAGCCGGGACATAGCCGGAGACACACGGCCACTCCAAGCGACTGCTCCAACTACTCAAGTCAAACCAAGCTGAAACCCCAAGCCCGCCGTCTCATGCTCATTCCCATGTCAGAGTGCGGGGCACAGCATGGAATTCGGCTGGTACAAATCCCCTGGGAGTCAAGTCGCAGCACGTAGCAGCAACAACAACGGCGACAACAATGGGACACATCTTATCAGCTCGACACTACTCCATTGAAATGAGTAAACAGTTTTGCTTTATGCCGCCATCTTTCACCATCTCTCAACCCGCCAGCAGCCCCAACCCCTTGTTGCCAGCGACACACCTTCATCAGCTGCTGCTGCTCTAAACGAGCGCCATAAATTGAAAATGTTGATTAATCAAGGCAAACGTGCGACAACGACAACTTCGCGGGCAAAAAGAAAACGAAGAAAGTGTGAGCACAGCGAGTGCAAACGAACGAATGAAAGAATGAATGAATGAATACGTTGAATGAGCGGGTGGCTAGCTGGGTAGGTGGCTGGTTGGGTGGCTAGCTGTGTGGGTGGCGGTTTTGTTGCTTGGTTAGTTTGGTAGCCTGCCCACTCGCTTTTGACACTTCAGTTAGTTTGTGGCAGTTGGCAGCTTGTATAAAAACTTGCGCCTCTATCAACATTTGGTCTTTCATTATGCTGACAGAAATGACACAGACACACACACAGTAGCTCACAAAAATACATAAACAAAGTGCGAACGTAACGTAGCAGCAAATGCGATAACGATAACGATAACGATAACGATACAGATACAACTAAGGGTGGCAGCTACAATAACGGTATTCCAGCACACAGAATGCTTACGCGTCATACATCAGCAACAGCAGCAGCAGCAGCAGCAGCAGAGACAAAGAACGCCAACTTGCAGTCAAGCATTTTATTTAGGTCAATGAGCGTCTATATGACCCTCTCCGCTAGCCCCACCGGCCCCCTACTTTTCTGTCAGCCCTCATGCCACCTTGCCCCACATAGAGCTGGCTACGAGCGGAGGCCAAAACAAACCCCATTCTCTACTCCAAAAGTAACCCTCTTGAACTTGCCCAAGCAATTAAAAGATGCTGCTGCTTCTTCTTTCTCCTCCTTCACCTTTTCTAGTTCTACAGTAAACAACACGAAGCTGAGCCGCGTGCCCGTTCCGTGTAGTGCAGTGTCGTGTTGTCGTTGAGGTTTTTTGTTTTCTGTTTTTTGTTTTTTTGTTATTTTTTTTTTGTTTACCTCATTGAAAATGCTGTAGGCCAGACACATGGAGACCGGATGCATGGGCTTGTAATGATTGCCAAATGTGTACATATACCAGAGGCCAGGAGCGGGGAATACAACCGTCAGCAGATCGCAAATGGCCATGCCTGCAAAAGAGAGAGAGAGAGGGAGATAGAGAGAATGAGTGCGAGAACAAACAATGTGACAAATTGGATTAGAGTGTGGATAAATGAACAATGACCAGCCCATAGTTTGGCTTAAAAACACGTTGGGCTTTTGCTAATTTGGCCCCTTAGCCAGGGTTTGATTTAAGCCATTTACTGCTCTTTTCTGCTTAAGTTAACTAATTTACTTTTGATGTTGACTATAAACGTATTTCATGCAGCTAAAACTGCGGTCTGAGATCAATCAGATACTTAATTACGCTGACTATCGACTCTGCTTATTATATTCCAGTTTTTTAGCTTTCGTGTAAAAGACTTTTCAAAATCGTTAAGGAAGCATAGGTAGTCTAGCCTGTCCAACATGAGCAACTGCTTAAGCTTAAGCAGCTGTTTTCCCAGTTTCAATTTACGACAATTTGCACTTTGTAACTTGGCTACATTTTAGTTATCTACAATTGCCTTGCTCTACCTAATTTTAATGAACTTGTTTCACAATCCTTTAGTGCTTGCCGGCAGACTGTCATCATAGAACACTTGCGTGGCAAACTTATCGCACAACTGAATTGGCCACAAAACAAGTTTTTAATGTCATGTTTTGACAGTTGCAGGAGCAAAAAAAAGTTAGTTTGCAACTAAAAGCTGCTGACAAGGCAAACGTGACACGATAAACAAAGAGTCGAATAACTGAATAACAGAATAAAAGACTCGCTTTTAGCATTTTCTTGGCAAGGTTGAAGAAACCGCTCGACGACTGCATTCAGACCAGAAATTTCTTATTCTTCAGAGTTGTAAAAGTTTATGTGGTTTCTTATAAAAAAATACTTGGAAATAACTAGTGCAAAAATTGCATTTTATAGCACGAAATATTACTTATGTTTTGTGCTCATTTTCAAATTGTGTAGCAAACATTTCGTGTACTTTAAACATGCTGAGAGCTGAGCTAGGGACTCGTTCTCTGCAGTTATAAGTTTTGTGGAAATTAAACAAAAAATATATTGTGGTCTTATTTTCACATCGTCTTGGCATGGCTCTTGCTGGCTCTTGGCTTCAAGATTCTAATTTCAATGACTGAGTTCAATTTGTGACTCTTTTTCAACATAGGCTGCTAAAGCTTTCTAGCTTCTTTCTTGAGCTGGCCTACATACTTCACAGCGAAACTGAGCTGTAATTTTTGACATATTTTCAAATTATTTTCAGAGAAATTCATGATCGCAAACTTTATTAAATAATCGAAGAGCAAATTGTAATCGATAACTCCTACAGCAGCTGAAAAATAGTAAGCGGACATGCTATTACTCTTGCTTGGTCCGCCTATATTCTCTATATGTCCAGCCTCCGATTTGCATAAAAATATTTTTAGCTTAATTTGTATTTGTTTGAATCTGTCATTGTCTTTAGTAACACGTAGAAATGCCGCTAAGACAGTCCAATGCAGATGGTTTCATGGCAAAAGCAGAATCTTTAATTCAATAAGAAAATTGTCAACTAACTGCTTGCCAGTTGTTGCAGCTGAGTGTTTTAAAGGAGTCAATTAAATAAATAGATACTTTAATTAGTGGCAGCCACCCTTGAAGCAGCAGCAGCAGCAGCAGCAGTCTCCACGAAGGGCTAATCAACTTTGTGCTTTATTTGTATTACATTCTACTTGGATGCTGCATTAAAGTTCAAGTACATCATACGCCCCGTGTGACGAGCACGTTGGCGACAAAGTCGCTCGGTTACCACTTCAACTGCTGACTGACTGCCTGGCTGGCTGACTGACACAGTCTCTCGACTATTCTGTTATACCGACCTTTGCTCCACGGGGGGTTTCATGTTCAATTTTAGTCAACTTGTTGTTGCTGCTGCTGCTGCTGCTGCTGCTGCTGCTGTTGCTCTGCAGCCAGCTTAAGTCAAAGTTCATTTCATGTTTGGACTGCTGTCATTTATTGTCGCTTAGCTCGCCTCGTGCTTGTCACCATTGCTGGCAGCCAAATGCGATTAGCCGCGTCCTGTGCAGGACACCCCCCACCCCCACTCCCCGACGCGCATTCAATGCGATTAACCCATTGACAAGCAGCGTGGGCGGGCATGCCACAGTTGTCAGTTGTCAGTTGTTCGTTATGAAATGTGGGCGACATTGCGGCATGGACGAATATCAAAAGGCAAATGACACGGCTTATGAGCGGCTGTTTGTAGCTTACATTGTCTTATGCTCAATGGCCATATATTTTTGTTATTTTTTTGGGTACAGCTCGTGGAGCTTACATAATCTGCGGCTACAAATTGCATTGCACAGTTCAGTGTCGGAAATTGAATTACCTCGCTAGTGATATCTCCTGTGCCCCTCGCACTTGGCCTGGGCTGGAGGTCCTTAACCCCACTGACGACACTGGCACTCTCGCACCCGTTTAGCTGGCCAAGTCAGCGACTTTTCATAAATCAGTGGCAAATGCCACACAGCACAAAGCTCCCCATTGCCAGCCAGCCGCCTAGTCAGTCAGCCATTAGCATTACACACGCTATTAGAATATCTCAGCATTACTTGAAGTTGCGGCACGCGGAATGCGTGCCACAGACAAGCGGCAGCGAGGGGCGGACCCAAATGAGGCACGCACATTGCCAGCTATTTTGAAATCTCGCAAAACTTCTGCCTGATTTAACATTGTGACGCATTAAATGGAACCGCGCGTGTGCTGGGACAGCGATGGGGGCCTCAACACTCCACAGATGAAATGACATGGAATAAAAAATAAGTAATAATCATAAATATGTTTAAGGGGTCGAGAGGGTTGGCGGGCGGACGGACGGGCGGGCAGGCGGGCTGGCGGGCTGGCGAGCTGGTGTGGCGAAAGAGCTTGAAGAGATTACACTGGCACGGGCCTAGCCCTTGAAGGACAACAGCAAGCAAATCCTTTGCAATCACAATATCGATTTATCGATCAGTTTGCGTTAAATGCTTTTTAAGACTCTGCCCAGCATCGTCATGCGTAGTGACTAACAACATATTAAATATAGTTATATGATGAGCTGAAAAAGGCTGTCTAATGTGCTCTGAACAATGAGACCATATGCCACAATGATTCCTTTCAGTTATATATACATGTGCCCTCGGTAGAATTTTATGAAACTTTGGTTGTATTTCGCAAATTCAATTCCGTAGGAAAGACAGTCTAAAACTCTTCCTGTTCCGGCACACGGTTCGAAGAAAAACATTTTGGTGTTAAGCTACGGCAGCCACGTTAGTCCCATGCGCTGCTTTTAGCAAGGAAAGCAGCAAATTTCGTGAGTTTCCGATTGCCCATAACAGAAAACAGTTTCCTCTCGGCAAAACAAGCAGTTATGACTGGCTGACTGACTGATCGACTTCTGTTTATTTTTGCTGTTGTGTATAACAAATTTCGCATAACAAGTTTTTATTAGATGTGTTGTCTTGCTTAAGTATCCTACAGCATTGTGTACTTAACGGTCTTATGGTAACTTTTTTAAGCTTTAACTCTTACGCTTTAGTCAATTAAGTCTCTCATTCACAGTCTTTGTTTCTTTCTAAATTCTTATTTTCTTTTGTCTTTGTAAAAAATCCTGTAACTGTTGTCCATGTTACATTTTCAAGAATCCCCTTTCTCTGTGATTCTCATGAATCTTTATATATGTCAAAATAATATTAGCTTTATAAGCTTTACCTGTGCTCAAGCTAAGAGTACGTTTCTTATGATTAAAGTCTTACATAGTGATCCTTATTCTAGAGTAACAAAATCTAATCAAGTTTTAAATTTGTTTCCCCTCTCTATGCGATTCTCATGAGTCAGATAATACATGTCTTATACATTTAAGATATCTTTTTTCTATACTGTCCCTCTGCTTTCTCCATCTATCTTCGCTCTCCAGCTTTAACAATAATCCGATCTATCAATATATCAACTCAGACTTGGCAGCCTGTCTTAAGTCAACATTTAACTATAAGCGCCAATTACCCAGTCTGATAATAAGCAAGTCACTTAGTCAAGTTAGCCAGCAACTGGCATTTATGCCTTCGCCACACTGTAATCAATAATCGCGTATAGTATATACTTATGAACGATGATGGCTTATAAATTGCGCTGCTTGGCCACTTACCCATTAGGACAAAGTTGGTGGGCGTTGCCATACTTTTCTTGCTGAGGACGAGCACAATCAGCGAATTGGATATTATGGTCATGAAGAGCAGGAAGGGCATGCAGTAGCCGTACAGTGGCAGTGCATAGTCCAGCGGCGAATCGCAGGTAAGATTCCAATAGGTCATATTATTGTCCATCTGGCGGCATTCAGTGCTGGCCAGCTGCTGCTGATAGGAGGCATAGTCGAGGCTGTCGTTCATGCTGGTCGCATAGTCAACCAGCAGAAAGTGTGTTTCATTCAGGCCGCCCGAGCCGACACGTGCTGCGCCAACTGCTGCTGCGGCTGCTGTAGACAGCGGGCTAGATGTGTCTGGGGCAACGGCACGTGCATCGTTGGCCGATGCGCTCCATTGATAGAGCACGTCCGTTGCGGATATATCGTAGGAATAGACGGTATTGTTATCCATGCTGGATGCCATGGCTGCGGCCGTTGCTGCGGCGGCGGCGACAGCGGCGACTGCTGTCAAGGTGTTCGTCTCTGCCGTTGATGTTTCCTGTAGCTCAATTAACAGACCTTGATCAGCGCTTCTGGCCATATGTTGGCCTTCATATCGAGTGCTATATCAAACGGCTGTCACTCGTTTGTCGCGCCAATTGTGAATTGAAACTTGAATGTAAACCGTAGCCTTTCTACACTCAGTTCACAGTTTCTTTGCCGTTGCATTCATCGAATTTGGCAGAGATGCTTTTATCTTTTTGTGTGTTGTCCGTTCGAATTTTGTTTTCTTTTGTTCGTCTGCAAAGAAAGAAATCAATTTCAGTTGAAAATACTTTTCACAAATAAAACTCGATGTCGAAAGTTTTACATGTACTCGTGTATTTGGCTGTTTGTATTTTATGCTATTGCCAAGCTGACAAGTCTGTCTCCTCTCCTCATGCCTCATCATCATCATCTGCTTCTTATTTAATGACCCTTTCAAGCCAAAACTTTTCCCATCGAGGCCATAATAACGGGCTCACCAGCTAGACGCTCTGCCCATTCAGTTGATAAAACTACACCAAATGATGCCAGGCTCGCACACTCTAATTGTTCGCATTGATGTTTATATTTTGACATGAAAATCATGAATTATTTTGTTGGCAAAATGCAAAGCGTAGAGTTGAGCTGGACATGCCTGCGGGCCCATACGTATTCACATTTATAGCTTCCAGATGAGAAGGGCTCTTTACAATGCAGCTCTGAATAGAAGGTCTCTTAACAATGGAGCATCTGTATAGAAGTTCCTTTCACGCTTCCACCCCACTCATTGAATTTCAATTCATGTCGGGCATCTATTGGCTGTCTCTTGATTTAATTTAAAATCCCATTTTCATATCTGTTGCATATGCAGAGATTCTTTATTAAAATCACGCCCCTATCATACGTGCACTGAAGTGCAGGGTATTTTTGCAGTCCATTTGTTATTGTTTACGTTGTGCTCGTTTAATTTAAAATCGAATTTACATATCTGAGTGCGCATTAAGTGGCTATCTGGCATCGCATTCAGCTGCTTGCAGCGCTTGCACCTCGATAAGCCGATAGCTCGTCGTGATTGTTGTTCGCGGATTAATGTCAGACATTAATATTAATGAGAAATATCATTTGTATATCGCATGTTCGGATTAAAATCAACATATGGCACGAAACCGTCACGGACTCGGCAACAATACAGTTGCCATGCAACATGTGGCAGGCTTATAAAACGAATTCCGATCGAAATTAAGCTGTGCCCCATTTAATGTTTTATGTAATCCACGATTTAAGCCATAAGCCATCTTCCCTTTCCCTTTCCCCTTCCCTTCCTTTGTCTCGCTCTTGCCCCATTGTCATTTCTGAGCCGCATGGCGACTCTTTAACTATAGAAAGCGAGCATTCGAGCATTTCGTAGGTTTATGCTTTTTAATAGCTTTATTTTTCGCAATCGGAATGGCACACGCAGACCAGCATGGCCAAGTTTTGCCATGGACACATTAACCCACATAAAACAGACCCGAAACAGGCGACTGGCGGCTGGCGACGTGCAGGGCCCGTGGCCAAATGTCGCGAACTTGAAAACAAAATTGAATATGGCCTTAAAGGGCATGGGCAGCTACATACATTCTATAGATACTCTGGCCCGGCCATGTTGTAGATGCCTAATGCGATATAGTTGTCCATTGATAACGAAATGATAAATATAACGTATACGCCGCCTTGCCCAATAAACAATTTTTAGCTGCCAAGCAGAATTAGGTCAGCATTGAATGAATTTTTAACGACTTTGCGAAAGAATGAGTCTTAAGAAGTCTGCGGGAATATGAATGTGTATTTTTAAAAATAATTGTATTTTGTATGTATGAAAAAGCAACAGACGGCACAAGAGACTCTCTCGTAAGACGTCTAACAGAGCTTCCTTTATCTAAATCAATATTTATATTGATCTTATTTAGCCAATCTGTAGAAATATTCGCATAATATATTCATCCAATAAGCTCTGCTCTTGAGTTAATCATAAATCAATAAAGGAAAAGTCGTCAGACAGTCGCCTGCTCCGTTTACCCAACTCAAGCTGCTAAGGATTAGAGAGTCTATCAATTATGCAATTGACAAGAGCTATGCGCGGGCCATTAGCTAAAAAATAAAGACAGCTGCATTATGAATTCAAGAGATTTTTGTAAAAATACTCGAGTTTCGTGGCTGCTTGCCTGATTGGGCTGTCAATCCAGCGAAATCAATTTCCTCGGCTGCGCCTCTCACATGTCGGCCCAAATATGCCAAAATCCTTGCAGCGTTTGCCTTCGAACTTTGTGCGGTTAGCGAGCCGCCCTAATTGGCCTTAAAAATGTATAACAGCAGTTGGCATAGAACAAATTACCATGAAACTCAATTCCAAGAACTTGCCATTTAGCTAAAGCAGTCTGTCTGGCAGTCGGGCTGTCTGGCTGTCTTTCTGTCTGTTTACTCCATTTGTCAAATTAACTTGCTCACCTGGATGCACTCGTTGGCTATCGGTAAGATAATTTGTTATATTGCAAGCAGCTCCAGCTGGATATCATTTGTGGATACATTTCAGCATTTGAACAGACGTGTGCCTTGGGCGCAACTTTTCACTTTATAAAAACTTTATCTCGATGATTATTCATCAGCTGGTTCGGCAGCTGATGAATCCTTGATCACAGGCTGTAGTTCAATCGATATGTTGACGCCTCTGGTTTGTGGCTTTGATTGCCAGTCGAGTCAGTTTAATTTGTAGTCAGCATAAGTCAGGCGGCCATTAGCAGCGTCTTCAGCCAGCGTCGCCTTTGATCAGGCACTACGTGAGTTGTTTTCACATAAAAACTTTAACTATCGCCCAGCTGTTGGCTGCGCATGTTGGCGCCATCTAAGAGTTGCCTCACGACTAGACCACCTGCACCACACTCACGCTGTTGTGCAGACACCATAAAGGCAGGCACACACATAGACATAGTGAAGACATCATCATAAAGCGATTAGCGAAACTAAAAGTGCCATTAAAGTGGCTCAACCACAGACTTGAATGCAAAAAGGCCTGAAGGACATTTGCCATTCAGTTCGCCACGTGCTCAAATGAATCTTTGACTGAATATTCAATACTTGGATTTGATGCCTCTCCATAATGACTCTTGTTGGGGTATATGCGAGGTAAGCTGTAAAGGAACTTGTGCTTTTGTATATAAATCAAGTATAATATATCTATTTACAGGGTATATTGTCGTCGTACCCTGGTGCAGTTCACTCGGCGAAAGCTCACAGGCAACGCCCATTCGACGCCCAGTTTGAAGCGCTTGTTTTCATTCCGGCAGAGCAAAACAAGTGTCAACAGAAACTAGATCAACTGGGACGAGGACAAACGAGGACAGCATCGAATGAAAACAAGTCAAAAGTGAAGACGTTCGATTGCCGAAGATGGAATACACTTGAACTGTTTGAAACAATTATCTGATCTTAGCCCAAATTTCCAAAAGTAAAACAATGACTGAAGCAAACCTTGGCGAACTCTTAATATAACTGCTGAAATGTCTGGCATAATGAGAATTATAATTGTTGTGGTGATGTGCATGAGAATAATGAATAAACAAATTGAAAAATTCGGTAATTGAAATATAATAATTATAATAATATTAATAACAATAATAATTATAATAATAATAATAATAATAAAAATAATAAAAATAATAATGATAATAATAATAATAATAATAATAAAAAAAAAAAAAATAATAATAATAATAATAAAAAAAATAATAATATTAATAATAATAATAATAATAATAATAATAATGGTAATAATAATAATGATAATAATAATAATGATAATAATATTAAAAATAATAATAATATTAATAAAAATAATAATAATAATATTAATAATGAAAATGATAATAATGCTTCTAAAAATACTCAAAATAATACGCAAAATACAACAAAATAATAATGAAAGAAAAAATATATATTAAGGATAATAATAATAGTTACAGTAATACTTTAGGCTAATGATACATCTTAAAAAAATTAAAAACTTAGTCGTGGCGAACATATATAATACATGTACATCTAAATACATTACAGCAATATACAGTATATATATATAAATATATATATACATATATAAATGTGTACCACAGCCTCTATTAATATAAACTAAACATAAGCAAAGAACTTTGGCTTGCCAGACAAGATTAAGAAAGTATGCATAAACTTTATTATAACGGTTTTTTTTTTTTTTTGGGTGTGATAAGTCCTGATAGCAAAGACACTTCTGGTAGGGTATACGCAACTTAAGTGTACTTTTTGCTGCTGAGCGAAAGCGACGCGACATGGCAGCGGCAGTTTAGACACTTTACAGACTCCGACTTGGCGGGGACGGGGTGTGTGGCTGGACTAAACTGGACTGCACTGAACTGTCTGGGAACTTTTAAGCAGTGGCCATTGAATGGCTTAAGCGAGCGTAATGCGCCGTTTTGGCAACTGTGAAGAAAAAAATATAAACAAAATTTGAATGCCTCGCGCTGTTGTGGTCCAATGAATAAATTTCACAGCCAGTGGGCGAAACACACAGCACAGCGTATGTGCCGGGGGTGCACCAGCAGGCAAGTGAAAGTGAAAGTAAAAGAGGCAAGAGGAAAGGGCAAAGAGTGTATGTAGCGCTTGCGTGTATGTCAGCCGAGGCACAGAATTAATTCCCTAAATAATAAATGAAAATTAAGAAAATTTGCTTGGCCCGCCTGGGGAATCGAATGCGGTTAATTTCCAGTCTGTTTGCATAGCCAGGTCTGATGGCAGACAACTGGATAGGCGGGAGGGGGATTGGCAAGTAAGTAGTTGCCTTCAGTTGCGACACTGTTGCAGATACATGCGCGCAGATTAGGCCAAATTGCATTTAATGCTCGGCCCCAAGCAGCCGGCTGAGCCAACCCAAACCGCTCCGATTCAGCTGCGATATGGCAACACGATGCCGAACAAATTTCACGCCAAGTTGTTGACTTAATCATTTGTAATCGTTTAATGCTGCATGCTTATTGCCAGTCAGCCATTCAGCTAAGCCACGCCTACTGCCTGCCCAAACGTCCCACGTTCGTGCCACAACTGCGGCTCACATTTGGCATACGGAATGAGCTTCGAGCTGGCTTTTCGATGCGGCAATGGCAAGGAAACTTCCCAGACATGCCAAATTAGTAGTTCACATACGCAGCCGCCCGGCCACGCCCACCCGCAACAATAATAACAAAAAAAAAGAGGAAAAAGGGCGCTCAAAGCCGCTTGCAGAATCTTTGGGTTCGGGTCGCTTAGAGCGTTTAGAGTTTTAGTGTAATCGCAACGGCAAACTTTTTCGATTTGGGAATTAAAATAAAAAGCAACAGCAATGGGCAGAGCTGTCTGAATAGCAGCATAAGCCCCACTCCCCAATCCCCTCCCACTCCGCACTGCCCCTACCTCTCACTTAAGTTTGGCGCGCGTGCCCCTGCCAAGAAAAAGTTTTCGCTTGCCGCCCTAAACGCATCGCTGACGCTTTTCGCTTTCACTTTAATGGGCAAATCCTAAGCGTAACCTCCTGCCCCACCCC